CACCCACCCCTATTCCTCCCTAAAGTTATTCTATCCATCCTTCCATCTCAGCCGTTGCATTTATAGCCGAGACCCAGCCCACGTCACTCTGAAGGAGATGATGAGTCAAAACAGGATCCAGAACTGCTGATCTCTGCGGACTGTAGGTAGGAGCAATTCTAGTTTTCACACCCTCATCCAGTGTAAAACATATGGATCAACTATACATGGGGAAAGAGAAGTTCAGGAAGGAAGTTTTGGAAATACCAACTCAGTTCACCCACACAGTTAACCTGGTCAATGAAAAACAGCAACGTCATTACCTAACATCCTAAACTTGGTTAGTCTCCACCTAGTTAGTTTTACAGTGGAAAACACACGCACGTACACACACACGTTGTAGAATTAGACCCAATTCATATGAAATACCTTGGATGGTGAACGGACCTCTTTTCCTTTGACTTTTATTCTTAACATGCCATTACGCAGACTTCTATGTCACGCTGATTTATTTACAGTTTATACAATTTGTGTCCAACGTGTACGAATACCACACATTTTTAAAATATTTGCATTCCATTTTTTTTTAAAAAAAGAATGAATGTACACAAAAATAGGGGGCCTAGACCCCTTCTGCCATAATTACATTTTTATACAGTGCAGAATAAGATTTAAAATAGGTGTGTCACCTAAGCTCTATTGTCAGGCAAAACCAAACTGGCAAAAAAATTTTTTAAAAAGCGTCCTTCATCTATATAAAACACGGGGGAAATTGTGCTGTACTGCTGTTTGATATTTGCCAGGATTACTTTAAACATACATACCCACGAGCAGTCACACAGTCTTCCTCATAGACATACGTACACAGTTGCTACAGCAAATATTGCCGACACATTAACCATTCTAATACTGATCAACCAAGGCTGCTGTTGGGTTTTATTAAAAGGTTTGAATAAATAAGCGTGTGAGCCTTGTTAGTCTTTTTTATTCCCATTGTCAACCTTTATTTCTCAAAGTGCTTTTCTTTGTAATTTTGTACTTAATATTTAAAATAGCCAAAGGGAAAGCGGCGTGAGTTTTAGAACATCAGGCGGTTGATGGTCCCAATCCTCCTCTGTATGCTTGTGGTCTGTCTGTGGGCTTGTGTGTCTGCGAGGTTCGGGTTTCAAAACCTCACCACCCCTAAGATACAGCAAATGTTAGAAACTGCACACGATGTGGGCTTTGGGAAGAAGAAGAAAGCCTTAGGGAATTATTCTGGGAAATTTCTCCATGGCTTTGAATCAGAGGTCAAGTACATTGTGAGCTGAATCCATTCTCTCCTTAATGCCAAGGCTAAAAAGCCACAATGGCTAAGCCAACGTTTGCCAAATGAAGAACTCCAAAAACTCATGGTCACTTGCTGTCCCAGGGATTGTTACTGGAGCTGTTGATCTCTTTCTTGTAGGGCGGATCTCTGTCCCTCGAATTCTAGCATCCATTCTCATAAAGGCTCGTTAAAATTGAAAATTACATGCTGGAGTTGGGAGGGGTTAGGATATATCTTTTTTTAAAGAGAGTTGATTTGGATCCTGGAAGAAGGAATGGGAAAGAACAGAAGTGGTTCTTGGGAATGGGTGTAGCTCTCAGTGCTGGGTGTTTAGGGCCCAAGATGAAAGAAGAAATTTTTGGCATTCAGCTTCCCCACCCCAAAAGGCACACGAAATGCATACCTGCTTCTCTTCCACCTTTGCTTAAGGACAGAGAGTTCCTTCCCATAGATGTCTTGAATATTTATATACCTCATCAACAACTAGCAGACTAACTTCTGGAGAGGTCCTATGGCTCCCAAAGAGGGTTGTAGCAGGAAGTCCCATAGTCCTACATAGTTTTCACTTGGGTCACCGGGGACTGTCTCTCCCCCAAGAAAGCTTGACACCCCAGCCTTATTGTCACATCACACAAGGTTTGATGTCTTGATATGTAACTTGCTGGTGGTAGTAGGAACCGCTGCCTCCTGAATGCATGGAAGATGACGCCATGGCATTGATGGAGAAGACAAATTCTTTCCGATCACACATGCTTGGAGACTGGGAATGGTACCGGATTCCTGAAAGGAAACCAGACAGAAGGTTTAAGTAGCTGTGGGGAGAGGAAGAGACAGAAAAATGACATCACCCTGGAGATTTCCTGGTTCATCGTCAAAACTGCTGGATTAGAACGTTGATTCTATTTGCTTTGGATAAGGATACAGACAATAATTTCTGGCTCTACTGCAGGTGACAGTAGTATGATGGTGTTAACTCTAATTATTAGCATTGCTGAGAATGACCCTAGGGCTTATTTTATAGACCCACCAGCTTTTATGAGTAATTAGACTAAAGAGCCATGGATGGATGGAAGGAAGGAAGGAAGGAAGGAAGGAAGGAAGGAAGGAAGGAAGGAA